TTAGAAAATCATTTCCTTCTTACATGACGTGTAGAAAAAGACATTTTGTCATAGATTCTCCCACATATCCACTATGAGATGAACAGCAATGTAGAATACAGACTTCACTGTATGTACACTATGCTACACATCAACACTGTCTAACTACATCGTCACACAATCAACCACTACATTGGGTAAGAGTGATCACGTGACATTCATGGACATCATCATTGCTATCATTTACAAAGCTACGTAGAACACAGAAACGCAGTGCATGCTATCACGTGACAGAGATTGGCTCAATCATAGTCAATGACCTGATGACTCAGAGCAACTTACGCTAAGCAACATGGCCAAACATTCTCTTTGGAAAATGTTTTTGAAATTCCTTCATTGTTAGTACCAGGGAGTCGTAAAATACCATACGTATTTTACGACTCCCTGGTTAGTACCAAGAGTGCATAACCCCCCGGGGTTATGTACTCTTGTTAGTAAGTATAAGTAGTTTTGTTCTCACTAGGATCTGTGTTGAGATGATGAGCTGACAAAGTAGCAAACATTTCAGTGAGTCTGTACCTCTACGCACAGTATCAAGTGTAGCACATACATGTACATGTAGTATAAGTACAGCTGGACAGCGTTTACCAATATCTAAACTCACTCTACAGAGTTTGGGCAGATTTCAATGTTTGCCAAATTAAAGACTGAAAATGGCCAGAGAAACGTTCTTTACTGGTATGGAGTCATAATTTCACGACATTCCTGTTTAGCCATTGCTGTTGGAAATGAACAGATCTGGGTAGTGTGGTTTGAACACAAACTTCGTAACTACACGTACCTGATTGTAGTATGTAAGTTTCACGATGACAGTGTGAACAAGGTGGACTACCCACTGTATGGGAAAACACTACTCCAGACTCACTGCAACCATACAACGGTTGCCGGGTAGGGTCTCGATCCTGTGCCCATTTGAACCGTATGGGCTATGCCCCTGTTCAGACACTCATTACTCTAAAGGGGGGGGGGGGGGGCATTATAGGAATATTCACTGATCTCGTGGTTCAAATGGTCGCAAGACCGAGACTCTACCAACCAGTTTATGGTTTCAGTTATGAACACTGTTTCTCATACAGTAGGTTCTCCGCCTTGTTCACGCTGTCATCGTGAAAACATGTTCAACGTATCAGGAAAGGCTCACATACATATAGACCATAATTGTAGTACAGTGGTCCCTGTATAATCCCACACCATTTGTGCTACGGAAATTCTGCTGGCTTGGGGAGGGTGCTGGATTAGAAAATCTGATATACTGCTGCAATGTGCATGAAGAGGACATTTTTAGTAACTGAAAATTGTGCTGGTTTATAGAGGGTGCTGGTTTATAGAGGGTGCTGGTTTATAAAGTGCTGGATTAAAGTCTAAAAGGAACGACTGTAGTGGTACCGAATACTACTGATTCCCTGGAATGGAGTCAGTGACTCACTGGTTCATTCAGTGACACGTCTATGATCTAGATCCTGTCAAAGTTGTCACCGCAATGACATCATGAGTGCGACGAAAACTTGTTCAGTTTTTCACAGTTTCTTTTTCTTTGAATGAATGGAATTTTATGACCAGCTGGAAATCTGTTGGTCAGTGTATCCAAGACGTGATCGAGGCAAACGCCAGGTCGTTGAATGTCAGTATCATCAGTGAATATTGTGGAAAATGCCACACGTTCTGACCCTACATCATCTTGAAAATAAGTTATTGGACAACAACGCATACTGCGGTGTAAACCTTTGGTCCTTTCCTTCTTCTAAGTAATTCTATTCTAATCTTGTCTTCAGATCAGACTGGCAAAGAGCCATGCTTCTCTCACCACCATCATCTATACTTTACGCACGTGGCCTAGTAGATGCATGGCTGATGATACTCACATAGCTGACTGATACCTGTACATCAGGTAGTGTCTGGTGCATAGGCGAACACTCATCCACGACTTGGCTGGTATTGTGACGTAGGTTTCGTGCCTCCAGGACTCATTGCTCACTGTGTGATCAACCATGCGTAAGCTGCACTACAGGGTATTTAGAAAAGCGATCCTGTCAGCTTTTCTATTATTGTGTTCACATGGCAAGAAAAACGACACCGCTATGCTACGTAACTTTCTACGTAAGGTGCTCGGTATTTCACTTAGGCTACGTAAGTCTCTACGTAAGGTGCTCGGTATTAGATCTACCAGCGGGTGGTAGCCGCGTGCTGTGCACGTGCACGGCAGACATTGTGTTGCAGTGCAGTCCGTGTTCGGATGTACATGCGCAAGGAATTTCCTTCTTTGGAACTGCTTCTTGTATGAGCTGTTTCGGATATTTCGACTCCTGGCCTGGCTTATTTCGTTTCGGTGCTGCTGAGACCTCCTTTCGCGGAATATTACTGACAGGTGAGTTGACCAGTTCCCTTTGATTCATTTGCTTGTGTTCACTCTTTCATTTACGAAAAGTGTGCTGATTTTGGGCGGAATGCAATATATAATGGAAAAGCTGACAGGATCTCTTTTCTAAATTATTTAGCTTTTCCGCTGCCGAGGCCTCCTTTTACGGAATACTCGATAACAGGTGATCTCTGAGTTGACCGGTTTCCTTCGATTCATTTGCTTATGCTCACCCTTTCATTTACGGAAACGTGTGCTGATTTTATTCGGATTTAGATCCATTTTTATCTCTTTGCCCTTGTCTACAGTGTACGAAGAACGCGAGTTCACCTTCTTGACGGTAAGGCTTACCGGTATGTTAGATGTGTTGTCGAAATACTCATATTCATTGTACATTGGTACGTTACAAGTAAGGCACTGGTCAGTGGCATACTATCGTTGGCAGTTCCCAATCTGGAGGGAAAGGTTCAAAGACCCATTGACCGAATTTGCAAAATAAATTCGCATATCAGGGAAAATCTCCATTGTGGATAGGTTCAGTAAACTTGTTTGCTTCATACGAAACAAGCCAATGGGTGCAGTCTCGTCTCGTGAAGATATCGTACTTGTATGATTGGATTTGTTTACTCGAGTCTGGGCTGTTAGATTTATTATTTGTGAGTACCGCCGAGATTGCACTGCCCCAAATAAAGTTTCGTGCCGCCAAAGCAAGAATTACGATCTGCAATCTGTTTGTAGTACATGTACCTGCAAGAATGTGCTGCACATGTATCGTACTTTCTCTGTTGCTGTTTCAGTTGCCGTCATGTTTCTAAAGAAAGGTTCAGTAGAGAGGTTCTGCACATTTTCGTAGTTTGCGCGGGCCAAGTGCACGTACGCCATGACCCGATCTCACGAATTTTCCTACGATAGTTAATTTCGCGTTCCCTGCAAGTTTCGTGTCCAAAGTTGCGAAAGTTCGTGCGAAGTTTCGCACTTCATGAAGTAGAACGAAAGTTTGTACGCATTTTCGTTTTGCAGAACCTCTCTACGACTCATTTGTTTCATACGAGACGAGTCAATGAGTTGGGGTGGCTTAGAATCTTTCGCTGTAGAAGAAATCTATTCGTATGTCTATTGGAGAAATAATTGTATTCACTGGTTATAAATAGGTTAAGACAAACTCACAGAGTTAATACCATCGGTCCCTTGGTGTTCGTCCTAAAGAGGTTCGACTGGATATCATTCAAACTCACCAAAAGATGTGTAAGATTTTATTATTATGGAGTGCCTTGTTTATCTCTCAGTACCTCCAACCATAGCCTTGCCCCTTTTATCCTCAGGATCAGTGTAGTTGTTGGAACGAGGTGTCGGACTCAGCAATGTATTTTGTTTACATTTTAATACATGTTTATTGTTCCTCCTTTGCTGTGTTGTTTTAGAATATCGTGGACTAACAGTTTGAAGTCATTGAACTACTTCCAAAAGTTCTATCGACATCAACAGGATTACGATTTCAGTGCAATATGATGCAGGATGACCTTATCACGAAAACCCATGATTATAAACCATTTAAAACACAGAATCAACAAAAAACATCTGCGACACGCACCTGGTTACATTTCTCAAATAAATCTGATCGAGGGTGGGGAAATCTGAAATATATGAAAGGCAAGACGATTTTATGACAGTCCTGAAATTCTGCTACAGCAACATGCACAGAATGACCTCCGTATAAAAAAAGTATCACCGCGGTCCACCACTACGTACTCACATGTTTCCCCGTAGAAGAACATGCTATGCCATTTTCTGCAAGAAAAGGCTTGCACATCAAGGCGTATAATACGGTATTGATATGATCAAGAGTACATAAACCGTTTAAGTACTCTATTATTATTATATAATTTATTATTTTATTTATTTTACTAGGGTGTTTCCCACAGACCTATGGTCTTCTTACGGGAGCCCCTAGAAAGGTTAAGCATGAACGAACAAATGGGCGATAATCTGTACAAGAGTCTTGATATGATGTGAAGGCCATCATTAATTAGTTTAAATTTACATATTGATATAGTATAGGTCATTCCATTGATTGGTGACAGAAAAAACAAAAGAAATTATAGCAATAAAAACTGCTTCATGGCAGTTTTCTAAAAAAGGTTATTGAGTTCTAGTCCATGGACCACGTCTAAAAAGTAAGACATTAACGAAATGTGAAAGCCGAAAATTAAAATTTCACACAAAACCTCACAATAATCACACCCAGAATGAAAAGCTACATGTAGAAGACCTTTTCCCCTCATGATCCTCTTTCCTATGCATGCATGACATGCATGTTGCCAATTGTTGGTGCAGTACAAGTTTAGTGTTGAAAGCAGCATTTCAAGTGTTGTGATTATTGTGAGGTTTTGTGTGAAATTTTAATTTTGGGCTTTCACATTTCGTTAATGTCTTACTTTTTAGACGTGGTCCATGGACTAGAACTCAATAACCTTTTTTAGAAAACTGCCATGAAGCAGTTTTTATTGCTATAATACGTTATGAGTGTGATGTAGCAGTTAGCTATGTGCATATCACCAGACATTCATCCACATGATGCTATACGCAAACAGAGCAGAGTAGGAATGGGTGATTAGGATAATGATGTACATGTATGCAATCCTGGAATCGAATCTACCGGTAAGAGAACATTTTCTTTTTGTCCGTGTTTCTATACATGGCTAGAAAGTACAACTAATCTGTGTGTGTATGTATTTGTGTCAGCTAGTTCGGTTGGTGGGTACACTTATGCCAGATAGTGTTGGGTCTGTTGCCAATGGGCTCGGCTGCTTGAAAGTGTATTGTTGTACCTGTCACCTGTGTTGGTTTCAGGGTTCATATACTTTCTATTTGAAGTATACATACCTGTTAACCATGGACTACTTCTGGCTAGAGCAACTCTTGTGTAATCAATGGTGCTAGTGAAACTTAGAATTATCGGATCCAGTCTGATTTAGCCACCCACACTAGTAGCAATTATTACCTTCACCGGAGGCAGGGGTAACTGCAGTTGGATCCCGGGACGTATACCCTGATGCCGTCAATCCCTTTTTCTACACCTTGTCCTCACCCACTTACTGAGATGTGGTGAGCCCATAAGTGGGATCATTTCAAAAGTCCACCCAGAGCTTTGGGGATTTTAGGAGGTGTGGGCCGTTGCGCGGTTCAATAGCCAATTGAGTGATCTTTCCAAGATTCCTTTTGAGTCTCTCTCCCCTCTCCCAAGAGGAGACCCACGTGACCAGTTATGGCAGTGAGCAAGTGTAAGCATGTGTGCATGCATGTGTGTGTATATGGGTGGGGGGTGCATGTGTGTGTGTGTATGGGTGGGTGTGAGTGTGTGTGTGGGGGGGGGGGGGTGCGTGTTTGGGGGGGGGGTGCGTGAGTGTGTGTTTGAGGGGAAGGGAGTGTGCGTGCGTGTGTAAGTGGGGAGGTTTGTGTCATTGTGTGTGTGTGTGTGTTTGCGTGTGTGTGTGTGTGTGGTGTGTTTTAGCTGTTGAATGGTGCAATCAATCGAGACCGTACGCGATGGAGGCAGGAGCAAATTTTGGAGCTCCTGCTCCATCCATGTTTTCTTTCAAAGTATCGAAAGATTGGCCTTCTGACCATAAGTTTATACTGCAGGAACTGTCTGGCAATTCCTTAAACGTGAAAGAGTCTGTCAAGCAGATTGATCTGCATGGGAAACCTGGTTGGTGCCAAGTCACACTTTCAAGTAGAGCTCAGCGCGAGACGGTTTTGAGCAAGGGACTTTGCATACGAGGTGAGCAGTTGGAACTGCATCTCCCCGACGAGGGCTCCACTCAGCTCCATGTGTTTGGTTGCCCTGTCGGAATGCCTGATGGCCCACTTTCGGCATCTTTGTCGGTTTTCGGCAAGCTCATTGGTCCGCCATCACACGGCAAGATCAGCTTCGAAGGCACGTCCTTCAAGACAGGAATCAGGTACGTCAATATCGTACTGTCTAAACCCGTACCGTCGACGTCGTGTGTGACCGTTGGGAAGAGAAAGTTGCGGGTGTGGCACAGGGGGCAGACCCAGACGTGCTGGCGCTGTGGCACAACGGGTCATGAAGCACGAGAGTGTAAAGTAAGGCTGTGTTTACATGAAGCGTTTCAACCCGGGTTGAGTTCGACCCGGGTCAGATTTCAACCCGCCATGTGCACAAAGTGAATGGCGCGTTTACATGACGCATTGCGCTTGACCCGGGTTGAAATTTCGCCCCGGGTTGATTTCAACCCTCCCCCCAAGGGGAGGGTTGAAACCAACCCGGGTCAAGAAAATCGTACAAACGTACTTCTGTGCGTATCTCGCGCCAGGTTTGAACAGCACTGCAGATGCAATTTCGCGCGAACGGATTCACGTGACCATACAGGACTGTAGAAGTGGACTTTTGGCGGCATATCAGTATTTGACCCGGGTCAACTGTTTTCATGTAAACGCTTACCTCTTTTGTCTATCGTACAGACTTTTAACCCGGGCTGAACTCGACCCGGGTTGAAATTTCTCATGTAAACACAGCCCAAGGGCGGGCAGAGAGCCTGAAAGTTCAAGTCGTACTAACAGTAACTCTAGTTCTGAACCTTCAGATTCTGTACCTCAGTTGACCTGCGAACGTGGGAGTACCCGTACGAATTGCGTAGGTTCAAACTCTGAAGTGAACTCCAACACATCCCAGCACGGTGACAGTGTATCTAGCATACCCACTACACGCACAAAAGCACAGCAACCTACATCCACGCTGAGTATGGCCAGTGCTACTGCGGGCCCAAGCACGGAGGACGTCATCCAGGTACCTGAGGTAGTGACAGTACGAGCTTCAGAACACCATGACACAGCCGTACCAGTCCCACCTGCCGCGGGAAACGTAACTGAACCCGGTGGTAAAGGAGACAACACAACTCCCCAGAAACCTTTTGTGGCTGCATCTTCTAACGACCACGTGCAACACAACAATAGCCTTGCGTCCAGTACAAATGCAGTACATGTAACCGGTACTGAAGCAGCTGTAACTTCCACTCCAGCTCCTGGATCTTCTGTCCCTACCCCGGTGCAAGATTGGCACGTCGCAGGTGGAAAGTGTTCTACTTTTTCTCCAATAATCTTGCAACAAACCGCCTCCGCTTTTCCCTCTGTCGCGAACCGCTTTAGTGCGCTGGAGCACTCCATGGAGAGGAAGCGTAAGCGAGGAGCCAGGAGTGACGCATCATCCAGTGCCGACTTGTCCGCGAAGGCTGTCTGCCCGACCACCAAGACAGACGACTTCTATGGTACCGGGTCGGACTGGGAGGAAGAGTGTGAGGGTGACGACGGCCGCGGTAGGAGCCGTCATGAAGTGGTGCAGTGAACTGCACCTTGAAATAGTATGCTTGAACTGCCTGTGTATTTTTGTTTTAGGTTTTGGATTAGTTTCTAGATGTAGTTCTTCCTTATAGATCTATTAAATGAATCCACAATTACATAGAGCTACTGTCGGTCGACAGAAGTCTTGTAAACTTGCTTTTCTGAATGTATGCAGCCTTAGAAAGAAGTTAGGCGAAATCCAAAACTTCATAAACTACCACAATGTAGATATCTTCGGCATTGCTGAAACTTGGCTTGATTGTTCGATTTCTGACTCATCCATTCATATACCTCATTATAGACTCTTTAGGCGCGATCGCGGGCACAGACCTGGTGGCGGTATAGCTGTATACAGTCGAGATACCCTGGCTGTTTCCAGACACGCTGAACTCGAGAGTGACACAATCGAAAATCTGATACTCACCTTGAAGACAGAATCCGGTGAACCCATCACCCTGGCTACGTTCTACCTTCCGCCTTCCACTACTGCTGCAGTATGGCAAGACCTAGAAATCAGTCTGAACAATCTAACCTTGCGACGAAACAACCGCGTGGTCGCCATTGGTGACTTCAATGTGGACATGTGCTCGGGACACAGCCGGATGCACACCATGCTCCAGCGGTTTGATCTGGAAAACCACATCCGGACACCGACAAGAGTAACGGCATCAACTTCCACCCTAATAGATCTGCTCCTCGCCCCTAACTCTCTAGTTGGAACATGCACGGTCATCAAGTGTGACATCAGCGACCACTACGCATTTGTGGCCAACATTATCGTCGCCACCCGGCAGTCCGAACGAGTCGCATCTCGAAAGAGGCGAGTGTGGAGGATAAATTGGGAGCATTTTAACGCTGACTTGCAGGACTGCAATCTTGAGATTTTCAGCAAGTCGAATGATGTTGATGCAATGATAAGCGAATGGTACGCAAAGGTTTTTACTGCTCTAGATCGTCACGCCCCCTTACAACCTCCTCGTAAGCCGAGGCGCCGACCTTGCCCATGGTTGTGTCCTGAACTTGTATCTGCTGTGCGTCAACGAAACAAGGCCCACCGACTTCTTTCACGCTCTCCAAACGATGTCCGCCTGCGAGAGCAACACCGCACTCTCCGCGCAGCCGCGCGCAAGCTAGATCGGAGGCTAAGGGATCAGTATTTTCAAGCTCGCCTACAGTCGGCCGGAAAGGATGGACGGAAGCTCTGGAATACGATAAACGTGGTGACTGGACGAGCGAAAAGTTCAAGCCCACCACAAGTACCTGTTGGAATCCTCTCCCGAACCTTTGGCGAAGTTGTACATGACCCTGGACGACCAGACGCGCTGTGCGCCAACGCACCAGCCGAACGTGAAGCACCAGCATTCACGGAATTTGCGCCTGTTTCGACGGAGGACATTACGGCCCTTCTCCAGTCCGTTGACGCGTCAAAAGCAACTGGACATGATGACTTGCCGGGTATTGTCCTTAGAAACTCGGCATCAATACTGGCTCCCTCGCTCAGCATCATTTTCAATACTTCGTTATGTCAGGGGTGTGTTCCCCGTCAGTTTAAAATTGCTAATGTGTCGCCGCTATTCAAAGGTGGCGGCCTTGACCCTTGTCAGCCTACTGCGTATCGACCTATTTCTCTACTACCAGTCGTTTCTCGCCTCCTCGAGAAGATCGTCAAAGCTCAGCTTACATCCTTTCTGACCGATCACAGTATTCTCCCTGACTCGCAGTTCGCGTACAGGAAGAACCACAGTACGGAGGACGCTCTTGTGCTAGCTGTCAATCGCTGGCTGAAAGCGAAGTATGAGCGCAAACTCACAGGTGTGATATTCGTGGATATGTCGAAGGCTTTCGACTGTGTCAAACACACCATCTTGGCACAGGAGCTATCCGACATTGGGGTCGGCGGTACTGTCCAGATATGGTTCACTAGTTACCTGAGTGAGCGGCTTCAACGCGTAGTCGTGGGCGGAAATTGCTCGGAATACGTCGCATGCAGTCGAGGGGTGCCGCAAGGATCCGTCCTCGGCCCCCTCCTGTTCACACTATACATCCGTAACCTTCGATGCTGCTTGCCCCAGCAGGTCACAAACCAGGAATTTGCAGACGACATTGCAATTGAAGCCTCGGGCAGTTGCGAACAAGTGTGCTCTTCTCTAAGCACAGCCATCACTGGCCTGTCGCAGTGGTTGGAGGACCGCGGGCTAATGCTGAACCAAAAGAAAACGCAAGCTCTGTTGATTACCCCAAGAGGCCCAGCCCCTGACACAGATAACATTCGAATTCGCTGTGGGAATGCAGCCCTTGCAGTTGTGGAACAAGCGCGGTACCTGGGCGTAATGGTAGATGGGCAGCTCTCCTGGGAGCCTCACGTCAATCACACAATCCAGCAGGTGCGGAAGTCAGTAGGTGCGCTGTGGCGGAGCCGCCGAAGCCTCACCCTGGCGTCAAAGATCCTGTTTTACAGGTCGATGATCCAGGGTAGGTTGTCGTACGCTTCCAACGCCTTTTATCCGTCACTTCAAATTGGCAACATGGAGCCCCTCACACGTCTAACGAAGTGCGCTATCCGCGGCTTCTTCGGTCTGCCACCGTGGTCGCGCACGAGCCCGATCTTTGAACAGCTCCGCCTCACCACCCTGGAGGACATGTTTAACATTAAGCTCCTCATCTTTGTCCGTCGTTGTCTGTTCTCCCGAGCTAGCTCCCTCTTCACCAGCTTCTTCGTGAGAGTTACTGGTGACCGCACTCGGGGAGCAGCACATCACCTCGTTCGAGTACCATTTTGGCCCGGTCCTGCGGGTCGAGCGACCATGCAGTTCATCGGCGCAGTCCTGTGGAACCAGCTCCCGCCTGATCTCCGTTCCGAGCCCAGCCACCTTCAGTTCTGTGCCCTGCTAAAAGCGCATCATGGCTCCGTTTAAATGCTTTTCGGCTAGTGTGTTTCTGTGGTATAGCGGACTGAAGAATAGGAAACGTGTTTTGCAATATATGTATGAAGCTATTTTGTATATAGTATGTTCCCATTCCGTTTTTGCTTTGGTGTAGCCCTGAGGTTGATTGCTTATTTATTTCTACCCTTCCTCTCTCCATACTTCTGCCCCCCCCCCCTCTCTCTCATTCCTTCTGTCGTCCACATGTATCAAAGGAGGCGAAATCGCCTGTTTGTGGTGCGACGTTAAATAAACTTCTACAACAACAACTACAATCCCAGCACAAGTTGCTATGGCTTCTGCTGTAGCTTCCCTATCATCGCTTCCGGCGATGGGCGTCAAATGGTCAATGGTGTGTGTGTGTGTGCACACGTCTTTCTTCTCTTTCTCAGACTCTTCCTGACTTTTCCTTCATTCTCCTGGGTGGTTACCAACAGCCAGTGCTTGCCGGAGTATGTGGTGTGATGTGTGTGCGGGAAAAAATATAAAAGACCAAAAGTAGGGATTCACTGGCCAGAAATAGCCACTTTATAGCTGTGTGGTGTAGACCAGGCTGAATAGTGGCGGTCAATTCTTCAGCCTTGCAAGCTGTTGAATGGTGCAATCCCAGCACAAGCTTCTATGGCTTCTGCTGTAGCATCGCTATCATCGCCTCCGGCGATGGGCGTCCAATGGTCCAATGGTGTGTGGGTGTGCGTGTGTGGGTGTGTGTGTGTGTGTGTGTGTGTGTGCGTGTGTGTGTGTGTGTGACTTTTAATGTTTTCATATAGTTTTTCTCCTGATGTCGTATCCATACTATTGACACGTGCCTTTTAGGCCTCTACGGGACAAGTATGCCTTATTTTAGGTGTCTAATTATTTATCTATCTCCCGTAAACGGGTTCATAATCGTCTTTATTTTATATCTTCACACAAGGCCTGGGGCCTTCCTTATTTGGTATACGCTGTTATTTCCCCACATGGCTCCCGCTCTTTATGCAACAGTTCGTACAGATATTTACTACGGTTTGATACGCTATTGCATGCGGGACCAGCAATCTCGTGGCCATGGACTTCCATGGCCGCAACTAGATACTATTGCCATCACCTTCCTTTTCTCTCTCTCTCTTGCCTTCCACCTTCAGGCGGAAGCTTCGGCTTTCGTCTGTCTTGCCTTGTGCTCTCAATATCGTCTATTGAACTAAGTTAGCTCCTTTCAAGATGTGAGTCAACCTGAACGCTGGTGTGAGTGTACGTGTCGGTATATGCCTGCGTGTGTGTGAGAGAGTATGTCTAGGTATATGTGCGTGCGTGCGTTAGAGTAATTCTGTTGGTGGACTCTCTCCAAGTGGCCACCACTGCACAGCCTTGTAATGTGAAGGTTTAGTAAGTAAGTTAGTTCATGTCGACGACCACAGCCTTGGGGTCTAACCCCGGGGCCGACCGGATACGACACTGACATGATGTGGGCAGGGGCTACGACTGTGTATTGTATACTGATGTATTATGATTGTGTTGTGCCAGTCTTTGTCACTTACAGTGGCCTGTAGAATATGATGGGGACAGTGACTGTGTGACTTGCAATGGGAGTGCTTGCAGGCAGGCTTGGAGCTGCAATGTTTTCTGTGCGTATATCAGAGCATGGATGCTTGCAGTTTGGGTATGGCGGTATGAATGTTGGTTGTGATTATCGGAGCATGAATGTTAGATGTACAGCTAGTGGCGTGTGCATTGGAGCAGAAATGATGACTCTGTATCGGAGCATAATATATAATGCACAGTTGTCTAACATCATGCTGTCTGATGAGTGCTTAGACAATGTATAAGCTACTTTACTAATAATATGTTGACTGGGGCTAGAACAGCTTGATTGTCGACTGCGCAGTTCTCTAGCAAGAATTCTGCCTGTGTGTAACTACCTATATGTACTTTCTATTTTGACAGCATGTTACAAGGCTATGACTGTTACAGCTGACGAGCTGAGAGAAGGACGCCATGGGCAGAAGTTGGAAAAAGACAAGAAAAAAGAAAAAGAACAAAAGAACAAAAGAACAAAAGAAAAAAGAAATATAAATTACAAATAATTTAATTACAGAGGAAGACAAGAAAATAACATCACAAATCCTTCCAGACGTGATCCCTGCAGCGGCAGCAACGTGAACAATACTACGGCGGCAACACGACGACTTCTACAACACAAAAAACGAAAATTATAAAAATCCTACCAACCCGTAGAGTAACGAGGGTCCGAACCTGGGTTTTCCCAATACGGTTCAAATGGTCGCAAGACCGGGACTCTGCCAACCGGTTTATGGTTGTAGTCAGGAGCACTACGCGTCCTCGCCTTGTAACATGCTGTCAAAATCGAAAAACATGTTAACTACCAAGCAAGGCTTCTGTATATACTATATGTACTTGTAGGAGAATGACGGTTAAAGGGAAACTGAACGCCAAAAATAAGTATGGCTTATCCGAAGGAGAATTGGGCACTGATTCCGATGAGCTATGTCTCGAGCCGATCAGAGAAGAGGAACTGTGTCAAATTTCATAAATAACACCTCCCATATTTGGAAATTGGCCTTGATGACGTGCGTACTGCTTAGCTGTCACAATGCTGTGCATGTTCAGCAGCGTAATTCAATGGAAGAAAACAATTACTTTGGTGTTTTGCAGCTCTGTTTCGGTCCCTGACGGTAACCAAATCTAGATGTAGGAATCTGTTGAGCAGGAGAGTGACACATGTCTTCCCGAAGGCTGTCCAGGCTGCAGTGGCGATGAAGAAGACACGATCATCACCCCGAGATCGATCGTAGCGAATTGGAAAACTCATGGTGAATTTGCTTCCACTCCAAGGCAATGTCGAGGTATGAAGGGTGCTTGTACTGCCTTCCAAAGTGAAGTTGTACATGACCCTGGACGACCAGAACCAATGAAGGGAAAGAAGCAGCAAAGACACCTACTGAGTCTAATGACTGCCACTGTCAGTTCTCAAACAAAAACAATTTTTGTCGAATTGAAAAATCTCACCTGTTAGTGTTGCTCACTAGCCACTAGTGACTAGAGTTGTTCGTCCACGAAATTTGCAATATGCCACTACGGTACCAGCAAGAGTAGGTAAGTTGGCATAGAACAACAGCTATGCAAAGCCATGTTCATCTCCTCTTCACTTTGGAAGGCAGTACAAGCACCCTTCATACCTCGACATTGCCTTGGAGTGGAAGCAAATTCACCATGAGTTTTCCAATTCGCTACGATCGATCTCAGGGTGATGATCGTGTCTTCTTCATCACCACTGCAGCCTGGACAGCCTTCGGGAAGACATGTGTCACTCTCCTGCTCAACAGATTCCTACATCTAGATTTGGTTACCGTCAGGGACCGAAACAGAGCTGCAAAACACCAAAGTAATTGTTTTCTTCCATTCAATTACACTGCTGAACATGCACAGCATGGTGACAGCTAAGCAGTACGCACGTCATCAAGGCCAATTTCCAAATATGGGAGGTGTTATTTATGAAATTTGACACAGTTCCTCTTCTCTGATCGGCTCGAGACATAGCTCATCGGAATCAGTGCCCAATTCTCCTTCGGATAAGCCATACTTTAACTTCACAGTTTCGGAGTATGAATATTGGGTGTGCAGAATGGTAGCATGATTGTCAGCTGGGGAGTTTCAGTGCATGAATGCTGACCTTTGGTATTAGAGCATGACTGTTTGTAGATGCAGGAATTATGAGCATGAAGGCTTGCTGTTGATCTTGGACACACTGACCTGAATACCTGCAGCATGAGTGATGGTTGATGATGATCGTAATGACCAGCTGTTGCTTAGCAACTGATTGTATTTGTTACCATGACTACATAGTGCTGGTGACTAGGGTAGTGAGTGATGGAGAGGTTGATGGTGTAGTTGTCATGGTATTGACTAGACAGTTCATAGCATACCTATCAGATGATCTGACGTGTGCACAGCACATAATTACACCTTGTAAGAAGAATGAGACCCCGATGACGCAGGGCAGACTGGGCAGTGCATGCTTTCAGGTAGCACACTGGTCGTAAATTTAATATGGCATTCAATTGACCGTAACTTTGGTGTCTCTCATTGGATTTGAGTGAAATTTGCACCACACACTCCTGCCAGTATGCTGGCCCTCCGGACATGATTTAAAAGTTCTTGCGCCTCACTGACAGGCTTTCCAGGCCGGATAACTCAGAATTCCGGCATAGTGCCATGGTGTGCGAGCCACCCAGGAGCCAAAAAAATGCATTTACAATTTTTTCACATTTTCTTGCTCATTCTGTCCGTGCGCGGGATTCAAACCTAAAAGAAGTCCAGAAGCAGCCATCGGTGGTGGGATAGGGCCCCTCAACATGGCCCTGGAATCTGTAACAACGGCACGAGTGGGTGTTATCTCACACCCTCCCACAGACCGAAGTCAATTTTTGAATTTTTTTAGGTTTAGCACGTGCGACGAGGTCGTACCTTTGATACAACATCCAGTGCTGGGACCTCCACAGCAAGCCATTTCCACAGTGCTGCACACTAAATCCAGGATACCCTCCAAAATCGGCAAAGACTACCACTCACGTTCCACTACTGCCTAGTACTGAATCCTACCTGACTTCTTGACACGACTCAAAATTGCCAAAGTCACTAAATAAACGTCAATTACAATAATCAAGCCACATACAGTATCTGCAACGTCACGAGGGTGCTGGCATGGGCAGGTACTAGGTAATGCTAGCATTATGGCTGGCATTTTAGTCCCTTTTTTCCAGGTGGCATAATGCTGGCATTAAAACACCATTTCGCATGCAAAATTGGCATTACAAGCATAATTGCCGGTCGACAATGGTGTCATGCATGAAGCTGGCTAGGTCCAGTTCCGAAAATCGTGCATCTGAACCCGTCCGGAGACTTGACGTTGCAAATCAACCTTCTCAGTGGATTGTTTCAGACAACATGCTCACTGCTGTTTAAGTTTTTTCTTTTTCTACGCTTTGGCCTTGATCCAAGACGGCCTTCTTAAACCGACTTTTCCAACTTTCAAACTGGCATTTTGGAGCAGTGTGAGCATTATGGGGCATTATATCCTCATATTATGAGCATTGCCTTTAGCATTATCGCAGCAAATAACTAGCATCACCCACCCATGCCTACCAAGAACAGAAACATTGGCAAAACTAATTCGCAGTTACCCTTTGGTGTGGCATCATTTAGAAAAGCGATCCTGTCAGCTTTTCTATTATTGTGTTCACATGGCAGAAAAAACGACATCGCTATGCTACGTAAGTTTCTACGTAAGATGCTCGGTATTTCACTTAGGCTACGTAAGTGTCTACGTAAGGTGCTCGGTATTAGGTCTACCAACGCTTGGTAGCCGTGTGCTGTGCACGTGCACGGCAGACATTGTGCATGTGTTCAGTGCATGCAGTCCGCGGATCCGTGTTCGGATGTGCATGCGCGAGGAACTTCCTTCTTTGGAACTGCTTCTTGCATGAGCTGTTTCGGATATTTCGTCTCATGGCCTGGCTTATTTCGTTTCGGCGCTGCTGAGACCTCCTTTCGCGGAATATAACTCAATGACAGGTGAGTTGACCAGTTGCCTTTGATTCATTTGCTTGTGTTGACTCTTTCATTCAGGAAAAGTGTGCTGATTTTGGGGCGGAATGCAATAAATAATGGAAAAGTTGACAGGATCTCTTTCCTAAATTTTGCTTTTCTGCTGCCGAGCTGCGAGGCCTCCTTTTACGGAATACTCGATGACAGGTGATCTCTAAGTTGACCCGTTTCCTTCGATTCATTTGCTTATGTTCACCTTTCATTTAGGGAAACGTGTGCTGATTTTATTCGGATTTAGATCCATTTTTATCTCTTTGCCCTTGTCTACAGTGTGCGAAGAACGCGAGTTCAACTTCTTGACGGTAAGGCTTATGTTAGATGTGTTGTCGAAATACAGTCGTCCCTCTCTAATCCAGCACTTTATAAACTAGCACCCTCGATAAACCAGCACAATTATCAGTAGCCAAAATGTCCTCTTCATGCACATTGCAGCAGTAAATCAGATTTGTTAATCCAGCACCCTCCCTAATCCAGCAGATTTCCGTGGCACAAATGGTGCCGGATTATAGAGGGACCACTGTACTCATATTCATTGTACATTGGTACGTTACAAGTAAGGCACTGGTCAGTGGCATACTATCGTTGGCAGTTCCCA